ATAATACTGAAATTGGGGGAAAAAAAGGATAATACTGAAATTGGGGAAAAAAAAGGATAATACTGAAATTGAGGAAAAAAAAAGGATAATACTGAAATTAATGCTAATTCAGACATCTTTATTGGGAGTAAAAATTGTTGAATTGAGGACTTTAATACTTGATTTTTATGCAACTTTTGTGAAATTTTGTGGTCTCTTGACTGGTAAACGAAAACCAGCTTTGTCATATTTGTATTTTCCGGCCCAGTATTTCCAGGGAAATGGAGCTTGTAGCTAATAACATTATGAAAGATAATTGAGATGTGCCTGATTCCTTTGGCAGCTGACCTCAGGCTTTTTTTTTTTCAGTATCAGGAAGTTAAAAACGAAGCAAGAGAAAAAACTGCGGAGAAAACGCGCGCGAGAAGAGGCTCGAAATTCCGCTCGAAAGGAAGCAGAGGAGAGCCAGGAGGGGAATGAAGGGTCCCAGCACAGTCAGAACAGCGGTAGGAGGCAGATTGTTGTCCTGATTTCCTCATGGGAAGGGTTGGAAACGGCAGCAGGGGCTGCCCAGGGAGGTGGTGGATGCTGATGTTGGACGTGATCCTCCTCTGGAAGACCCGTGTGTTTTTCCTTGGATTTACTTTTAGTTCAGTTCTGGTTTTAATTTCCAGGTGTGTCAGTGCAGGGTTAAATTCCTCGTGGGAAAACCTTTGGTGTTCTTCCTTGGCTGCTCCGTGCAGAGTCAGCCCAAAGGGGCCAAAAGGCTCCAATTCCAAGTTTAAAATTCCTGCTTAAAAGGGATTTCAGGAGAAGCTTTATGCCCAAAAAACTGGGATGCTGTTGAGGGGAAAAAAAAAAAAAAGAGGAAAAAACCCTAGGATCTTCTCAAAGAAAGAATAATACCAGCAGTGACTTGAAAAGTACATTTCAGTGGATTGGGGTAAAATAAAATACCTCAATTTAAAAGTTTGTGGGCAGTTAATGCTCCAGCTTTTGCTGGGCTGTTGGGCTGCACTGCCCTGTTTCAGAGCTGTGAACATCCCCTGCAGCTTGTCAGGGCAAAGAGAAAGGGGTGATGTTGGAAAAATTCATTTTTTTTGTCTGTGTTATGAACTTGGCATCTAATTAACTCCATTTCCTGGAAGGATTTTCCCCGTTAAATACTCCGAGGGTGCTTTTTTATCCCATCCAACCCATTCCCTGAGCTCTCTAGACCCCTCTGTTGCTCAGTGGCATATCCTGGCACTTGGAGAGATTTTTTTGCTTCCCTGTGGGTTTCTAAAATCACCTCCAATTGCCTCCTGTTTGTTTGGTTTTGTTTTTTTTTTTTTTTAAGTATTTGTTGTCTTTTCTTCTGTGGCTTTTCCGTGGTCCTTGGAGCCACTGCAGGTCACTGTTACCTGCAGGTGACTTGACTGTTCACCCTAAAAATCCAGTCAGGGTGTTTTATTTCTCTGTGTAAACCAAATTTAAACCGATTTTGTATCAAATTCATAACATAAAGCTATTTTATATGGAAAACATATATATATAATTATTGAAACTCTGTAATTTCAGCGTGGTGATAAAGGATATAATTAATAACACCACTGAGTCTGAATCACCTGTACTTAAAAATTGTTTTTTTTATTGTGGTAGAGACATGAAATGTTTATTTTGAGGGTTTTTTTTGATTGCCACTGTAGGTTATGGCCAAGATTTCCATGCTGGTGACCGGGTCCTGCAGCACATCAGTCGGAATTCCGAGCAGATCCAGACAGCAGTGGGTGATGCTGCCAAGTTATTAAAGGAATTACTGTCCTGGTTTGTCATCAGCCAGGAGGATTACACCTCATATTCCCAAACCAGCAGCACATCCAAGGAAGTGATGGAGCAGCTCATCAGCCACTTAATTCAGGAAAAAAACCGGGTCAAAACCAGGGGGTTCATCCACGTGCTGAGCGAGCTGGAAGGGGTGGATCCCAAATTACTCAAGTGGCTGAAACATCTGAATAACTTGGGTAGGTTGTGCTCCTGGAACAGCAGAATCTGGCAGAGGAGAGCATAACTTCTCTATTTTCCGCTCTTCCTTTCTTAATTTCAAGTGGCAAAAGCCAAACTTCCCTGTTTTTCCTCCCCCTGCTCCTTAGCCAGGATTTCTGGAGAGGAAAGTACGACCTGATGTGGGCAGGGCTTTGTCCAGGAGGGAAGGAGAAAATGGAGCAGGTTTAGTTTCTCTTGTTGCCTTTAAATTACCAGAATGGCCTTAAATGAGAATATTTGCATAAATGAGATCTGTTTCTGGGAAGTAAATCCTGCTGGGATTTTAGTCATTGAAGTTTAGCTGCCTGTGCTGAACTCGGGAGGAACTTGATGTGGTGCCTTGCTGTGGTTTCCTGATGGATTTATGATTGGAGGAAGATTTTTCCAGGCATCAGATGCCAAAACCTTGGAGGAGATTTGGGTCTTCTTCATTCTGCTCTGTTGCATCCGTGTTCTTTCAGGAATTTGTATAGATTTGTTACACAAATAATAATTTGGTGTTGATTAAAATTGACCTAAACCCCATTTATCATTTTTCTTGTTTGCATTTTCACGTGTTTCAAGCTACTGGATATTTAATTTCCAGAGCCAAGTGCTTCCCTTTGGAGAGGAATATCATGTTTTAAGCACCAAAACTCTGCAGCTGGAATGAAACATTGGGGGTTTTTTTCTTCCATCTCTTTCAGGTCTGACAGCCACAAAAAACTTCCTCCATCAATATGAACAATTATTGCAAGAGCTCGACTTCTCTGTTTTAGCCCCGCTCTGGAACCAGAAGTATGGCAGGAAATTTGATTATGTGACAACTCCTGAAAAGCAAGAGATTTGTGATTATTTCTTAAAACCCCCCTTAGAGAAAACCCGTTGTTTTATATGGCTTTTAGAGGACCACAGAGAACATTTCCCGTTCCTTCATCAAGCTTTAGATGAATTCTTTGATAAAATGGGTGAGTAGGCAAAGGGTCCCACCTGGACCAGGCGGATTTCCAACCAAAAATAAATATTTATTGTTAAGTTTTTAAGCCTGAAGATTCTGCAGCTGCATCTTGGAGGTGCTTTGGTGGTGTTTGATAAAGGATTACGATGATATTTCCTGTCATTTCACAGTTGTGATTGTAAATGAGAGAGAAATTATTACTGTTTCTATTAATCAGTATGACTTTTATCCTTTCAACAGATGACCCAACCATTATATTAAAGAAGCAGGGAAATGAAAATATATCAGTAAGTGAACTTAATTGATATTTGGGATGAGTTTGGCCTTTTAAACAAGTGCTGAAGTGAATAGGGATGTGCACTTTTACAGCCCCATCCTTCAGACTTGATTAGAGATTTAGTCTGTGGGTTTAGCTCCCTTTTCTTCAATCATTTGATGTTTAAATTATTTATTTTTTATAATCATAAAATTAATTCATTCTGAGTGACTTCTTGATGGGGGTCTTCATTAAAATCCATTCCAACTGGCAGAAGTGTATTATGTATTTCATTTAACTACATGTTTGAGACACTCCCATTTCCTGCAAATAAGTTCACCTCTACAAACCCAAGGTTTACTTTTGACACTGAAAACTTTGGAGTTAATTAATGTCCATGTTAATAAAATGTGGGGGGTTTTTTGCTGCTTCTTTTCCAAGAATGAAACGAAAACCATGACAATGAAACTGTTTTTTGTTCCAGTGTTATTTATGGCCTGAAACAGGCTGTTGGTAATTGCAGTGAGTGGAGTCATGTTGATCTATAATTAAGGTCCTGTTAAAGAGTTAATTAGCATTTTAATTCCTTCATCTTTGAGTATCTTGGAAAACTGAAGCAACATTATTCCCCACACAAAACCAGTGTGGGGTGATTTTAAATATGCAATTTTGGCTCTTAAGTAATGAGCAAGGGGCTGAAAGAATAAAATAACACAAGCTTCTGATTTTAAAAGTCAACATTTTAAGTGTTCAAAGAGGAAAATGCTGAATAAAATAGATGCAGCCTTTCAAAGCTCTGGGGTGGTTTTTTTTTTTGTGTTTTCCTCCTGGGGGTGGAGTGGAGAGGGAGAATTTCGCCTTTGAAATCTTGGTGGGCAAACCAGAATGAGAATTTTCATATGAAACTTGAAAGATTTACCTGCTGCTTTTGGAAATGCATCAGAATTTTATTCTAATTAAAAAAAAAAACCAAAAAAACAAAACCCAGTGACTTTCTTTTTTATTTATTTCTGTTTCAGACTAATGATATCAAAGTTAAAAACAAAAACAGGAAGAAGAACTTGAAAGACTCGAGGGTGAGTAACTTTTTAGCTGCTAAAGGAGATGCTACTAAGCAGACACTATCTAATTGCTATTAAAACCCATTTAAAAATTTGGATTTTTATAGGATTTCTGGCATTCACATGTGTAGAGGCTGCTTTCCTAAATACCTCGAGGCATTTAGGTATTAATTCATTACTGAAGTAATTTTTCCCGAAGTAGAAAAGTGCTGTTAATACTCAGTTCACACTGGTTTTGTTTTGTTAAAATATTTGTGGATACCTTTGGCTCTTAATTCTGAATTACTGTTGTGATCCTCAGTTTGCCATATGGGAAGGTGTGCATTGGCAGCACCATGGAATTAACACTTTATGCCCTGTTTTATTTGGCAGATTTGGACACTTTAAAAAGCTGTGTCCTCACACCTGATTAAATACATGAAGTTATGTGTTTACCTGATTTTTCTGATCATTTTTATGGGCATATCAGTGACTGAGGATGCAGCTGTTCCACTTGATGCTCAGAGAACTGTTGAGTTGTTTGTTATTTTGTAGATTTTGCTGGGAATAATATTTTACCTGCATCTTAATTGAGGATTTTGCTTTATTGAAAGTTTCACATACAGTCTCTGTGCCCCCACCTTTTTATAACTTTACTAGAATTCCAGGAGGAAAATTAAGATTTTATTTATTTATTTATTTATTTATTTATTTTTTCTTGTTCTCATCAGCCTGGTTTTTGTTTTTCTGACTTAGGTGCATTTAGACAGGTCGATTAGATAATAAAATATTATATTATACAAATTTATTAGAGAATAAAAATTCAGAGACAACTCAGATGTTTGTAATGTTGACCATGAGAATAAGAGGTGTCATTAAACCACGTGGGGTAACTCAGACTTGCCTGTGGTAAAGTTGCCTCCAACATAAAGGGAATTTGATTAAATTTGGATGAAATTGGTGAAAAAAAAAAATAAAAAAAGGGATGTTGTTGGGCTGAATATCCCAATTTCCTTTTCCCAAAAGAAGTTTTGAAGAAGAAATGAATAATTTTAAATTAAGAACTTCCTTGCTGGGGCAAATCATTGTCCAAGAAGTTTTTGCAGTTCATAATCAGAACTTAACGAAATTACAGAACAAAATGGGGTGGAAACAAGTTACTCCTGGTCTTTACAGGGGATCATTTTGCCTGTAATTTTGTGACATAAAATAATCAAATCAGCCTGTTTTCAATTAGTCTATTTTAGTATTATCCAGTGGAGTTAGTACAGCCCCACGAGAAGAAGAGAAGATATTTATAGAAGAAGATAATTTGTAAGTACCATCATTTATCTCTTTTTTTTTTTTTTTATTTTACTGCCCAGAATCACTTAAAAACACCAAGCCTGGGTTAACTTTCTCTCTTTTATTCTTTTTAAGATACACAGATTTTACAAATGAACCATTTTTAATCCCAGAGTATCTCCAGGAGCAGCTGGAGGAATTTGAAGCTCTCTATGAAGTTTCAAATAGTAACAGTTATAATAATCCAGATCCAATCTCTGAGAGTTTATATGAGTAAGTATGAATTTCTGTACTCAGCAAATTCGAGGGTTTAATTTTACTTCCTAATTCTTATCATTTATTGCATTAAGTCCATAATTTGGGGGGTCTGGTGTATGTAGGTGTGTCCATAAAGGGATGGACTAATACACTGAAATACAAGTTTAGAATGAAATTTTAAAAAACTTGGATTAAAAATAACAATTTTTTAAATTTTTTTTCCAGGTATTTCACTCAAATCTTGGACGAGCATGGCCCTCTGGAAATTAATAATAAATTACTAGTTGGGGAATATGAAAATTTCCCTGAAGAAACTCGAAAGGTCGTGGAGGATCAGGGTGGCCTGGAACCTTTCCTTCTGAAATCCCTTCGTTTCATTATGGTGGATAATCTGATTTGCTTAAAGAAGCACTCGGTCTTCTTTGAGGGAAATACAAACAGGAATGAAAATTATACAGATGGGAATGTGCAAGGGAGTCATTCCCAGAAAAACCTCCGGTTAAACCCAGATGCTGAGGAATTCAAGCCCCAGTCCTACCCTGTTCAACCCCATATTCCACCATCACCTGATTTAAGTTATGAGACTCTGCAATATTTGCCCTATTCTTCCTTCCCTGCTTCCTGTAGATCCAGGAATTCCTTGCAAAGCCAGAGCATCGATTCCATGGAAAACAAGTCGTCGTTCGCAGACGTTTTACTAAAAAACCTGGATTCTACAAGTCCCATATTTTTGCCTCTGACTTCCTGGGGTTACCAGTATGGGAGGATATTGCCTGTGCCTTCTCCAGTGCCTGTCCTGCCACATGTTGCCAGGCAGCCTGGTTATATCTATGCTGATCCTGCAGCTCCTCAGGATAATCAGGAATCAGCAATTCCAGTCAGAAAATACATCCCTGATGATTTCATCCCAACTGAAATCCAAACGTGTGAAGACCCCAGGGGCCAGTTGGAGAACTCGGATAAAGAGAATTTGGCTGCTCCAGGGAGTTCAGATGAAGCTGAAAATGGTAAAAAGGTTATTAAGGTGGAAAAAGGAAGCAAAAGTAAACCTGGAATGAAGAGCAACCCCCATATAAGGATGGTGGCTGTTCAGGTAAGAAATGAAAATGGGATAATTATTTGAGGGCTTTTTAGGCCACCAGGAGGATCCCAGGGCTGGAGCAGCTCTGCTGGGAGGAAAGGCTGGGAGAGCTGGGATTGTTCAGCCTGGAGAGGAGAAGCTTTGGAGTGACCTGATTGTGGCCTTGCAGGGCCTGAAGGAGCTACAGGAAAAGATGGAGAGAGACTGTTTGCCAAGGGCTGGAGGGACAGGACAAGGGGGAATGGCTTCAAACTGCCAGAGGGCAGGGATAGATGGGATATTGGGAAGGAATTCCTGGCTGTGAGGGTGGGGAGGGGCTGGGATAGAATTCCCAGAGAAGCTGTGGCTGCCCCTGGATCCCTGGAAGTGTCCAAGACCATGTTGGAGCAAGCTGGGATAGTGGAAGGAGTCTCTACCCATGCAGGGGGTGGAATGGGATGATAAAGGTCCCTTCCAACCCCAGTCTGTGATGGATCATAACACAACAACCCCCTGCAGTGCTACAGGCTGGGACAGAGGGGCTGGAGAGCAGCCAGGCAGGAAGGGAGCTGGGAGTGGGGATGGACAGGGAGCTGAACAGGAGCCAGAGTGTGCCCAGGGGGACAAGAAGGCCAATGGATCCTGGCCTGGCTCAGGAACAGGGTGGCCAACAGGGCCAGGGAAGTGATTCCTGCCCTGGACTCAGCGCTGGTGAGGCCACCCCTGGAGTGCTGTGTCCAGTTCTGGGCCCTCAGCTCAGGAAGGACATGGAGGGGCTGGAACAGGTCCAGAGGAGAGCAACGAGGCTGGGGAAGGGACTGGAGCACAAGTGCTGTGAGGAGAGGCTGAGGGAGCTGGGGGGGCTCAGCCTGGAGAAAAGGAGGCTCAGGGGGGACCTTCTGGCTCTGCAACCCCCTGACAGGAGGGGGGAGCCGGGGGGGGTCGGGCTCTGCTGCCAGGGAACAAGGGACAGGAGGAGAGGGAACGGCCTCCAACTGTGCCAGGGGAGGCTCAGGTTGGACATCAGGAGGAATTTCTCCACAGAAAAGCTTGTCAAGCATTGGCAGGGGCTGCCCAGGGACATGGTGGAGTCCCCATCCCTGAGGGATTCAAAGCTGTGTGGATGTGGCACTTGGGGACAGGGGTCAGTGGTGGCCTTGGCAGTGCTGAGTTAACAGTTGGACTTGATGATCTTAAAGCTCTTTTCCAGCCTAAACAATTCCATGATTTTAAGCTTATCTGACCATGGTTTTTAACAGCCTGTTAGAACAGGGACATCATGAACTTCAGTTCTTTCATTAAGGTCTTTCAGTGGTGGAGCAAAACAGGGTCCTGGAGTCCCTTCTAAGCAGAGGCACTTCTGTGGCAGATCTTGAGTTTAGGACTCACAAAGCAGCTTCTCAGGGAGCTGTCAGACACTTCTTGCAAATATGAAGTTTTCAGACATTTAGGGCACATCTGTGTTTGAAGACTCTCAGTATAAATGCTTGTGAAATTAGGGAAAGGGCAGACAGACAAGTGCTTTCTTTACAGGTAAAGTCCCTTCCAGAAACACTTTCACAACGTTTTTCTGCATTGTTTTAGACCTGCTCAGTAAATCAGTTGGGTTTGTAAAGCTGTAGGTGAGCTACAAGAGCTCCAAACCAGAGCTGGCCTTGTAGTTGCATCTGTAAACTGGAAAGCTTTTTAATTTACTCATAATTTCCTGTATTTTAGGTCAATCAGGAAGTAGCTGATAGGGAAACCAACACTTTGCCTTTCCATCCATTTGAAAATCAACAAGTAAGTTACATCTTTGTATTTCTCATGAAGAAGGTTAAAGGAATGCCCAAAAAAAATTTAGTAGTGAGAAGATAAAGTTCTCTGAAAATGGCATATTTTAAGAGGTATTTCTGTATTTTGGGTGGTTTGGTGGTGTGTGGTTTGGCCTCTTTCTGTATTCTGTGATGTTCTTCATGGAAACTTCACACAGGCCCACAACAGGGAGGGGTTTGAGCTTTGTTCTGTATTTTAGGGAGATTGTATTTCCCTTCCAGAAATCCTGAGGCTTGACAAAAACACTCCATTTGGGCATGTAGACGGTTCAGAGTGGTGTTAATGGCAGGTTTCTGTCTGTGCCAGGAGATAAAAGTGAGAAAATGTGTCATTTAGGTTGGGTTTTGTCACCTGATTTCTTTCCAGGGAGATATTCTGCGTGTGGAAAAGGAGCATCAGGTGCTGAAAGAACAACTGAAAGAGGCAGAGGAGAAATTTGAGCAGCTGCAGAGCCGAAATTCAGAGGAAATCAGTGCTTTGGAAGAGCTCCTGAGGAAAAGTGTGGAAGAGACTGAGGTAAAACTTCCATCCTTGGATCAGAGGGTGTGGAATCCCCGTCCCTGGAAGTGTCCAAGACCATGTTGGAGCAAGCTGGGATAGTGGAAGGAGTCTC